CTTAATCCTTAAAAAATTTTCTGTTTGGGCACTAGCTTTAAGGCTGTGTTATGAGTAGTGAAGAAAATAAAAAGAAAAAAAATCTTCCTTTTATAGCTAATTACTTTAGAGGCAAATACTGGCTTTTGTATATTCAAACTGTACATTGTTCTTTTAATTAAAACATTCCATTTGTTCACCTTATCATTAAAATAGTCTTAGGCTTATGGTCCTCTGACATAACTAATTCAGTGATATACTTCATTTCATTGATACTTTGCAGAGTAGAGTGAATTTCAGTAAATAAAACTCTACTAATTTCCTTGATAAAAATCATAGATAAATTTCCGTACATGAAATAAATTACACATAAACTTAAAAATTGTATATTAAAGGGGGAAGGTTCTTATACAATTTATGTTACTATTAAATATTAAAATATAAAATAAATTGTTTGGTAAAATGTAAAATATACCAAAATTGGCCTTTCTTAAGGGGATTTGCCCATTTTGTTCACTGACCTGTATAGTAATTTAGTTGTACTAAAATGTTTCCACAGCTTCTTTCCCTTCATAAATAAAGTTTTTTAAAATGTTCGCTTCTGGGGGTGCCTGGGTGGCTCAGTCGGTTAAGCGTCTGCCTTCGGCTCAGGTCATGATCCCAGGGTCCTGGGATTGAGCCCCACGTCGGGCTCCCTCCTTGGCGGGGAGCCTGCTTCTCCCTCTCCCTCTGCATGCCTCTCTGCCTGTTTGTGCTCTCTATCTCTCGGTCAAATAAATAAATAAAATAAAATGAAAATAATAAAATGTTCATTTCTGAAAGTGGGATACTTGGCAAATATTTGTTTAGTGGCCCTAGTTAAGGTTACTAGTCTTTGGTATGATAAATAGTGGTTTCTTGACTTTTTTTTTTAGAGAAATAGAAAACTTCATTCTATGCATAGAAAAGGATTCTTTAGTTGTCTTCTGAAGGGCCTACTGCCACCCAGATTTCCCTGATGGTAGACTGGGGCACCCCATCAATCACAGAAGAGTCGGTTCCAGCTGCTCCGGCCACCTGCCCCATCTCCTGAGCATTGGGCATGGGCCAGGCTCCTCACTGTGGTCCCCAGGCAGCCAGGAGGGCAATGAGAAAAAAATCACACTGTAGTATTTTAAGTGAAAGAAAAAATCAGGATGCACAAGTGTATATACTGTGTAACCAGTTGAACAAAGGGAGAAAGGGGAAAGACTATATATTTGTGTCTCATTCTGTATTCATAAAAAAATCTTTGGAAGAAGTCAGAAGAAAGTATTCACTGTGGTTTCCAATACAGGGCAGGGGGAGGACCTGGGCAGATGGGACAAGGGTAGGAGAAGGATTTTCAATGTTTTCCTGTTTTTCACTTAATGTATTTGTTGGAGTTTCAGTATTATGGCAATTTTTAATAGCTTTGTTGAAGTGTCACAAACATACAGTAAACTGTACATATTCCTGGTATGTATAAATTTTATACCTTTTTCTTTTTTAAGTTGTACCAGTCTTTTTTTTTTTTTTAAGATTTTATTTATGTATTTGACAGAGAGATAGAGAAAGAGCACAAGTAGGCAGAGCGGCAGGGAGAGGGAGAAGCAGGCTCTCCACTGAGCAGGGAGCCTGATGCGCGGGGCTCTATCCCAGGACCCTGGGATCATGACCTGAGCCGAAGGCAGACACTTAACCGACTGAGCCACCCAGGTACCCCATTTTTATACCTTTTTTGAGCCAGTGAATGTGTTATCTATTAAAAATGGAAAGAAAAGGGGTGCCTGGCTGGCTCAGTCAGTGCAGTGTGTGATTCTTGATCTCGAGGTCATGAGTCCGAGCCCCACATTGGGTGTGGAGATTACTTAAAAAAATAGAATCTTGGGGCGCCTGGGTGGCTCAGATGGTTAAGCATCTACCTTCAGCTCAGGTCATGATCTCCAGGTCCTGGGATTCAGCCCCATGTTGGGCTGCCTGCTCAGCGGGGAGTCTGCTTCTCCCTCTCCCCCTGCCTGTTTTTCCCCCTGCTTGTGCTCTGTCTCTCTTCCTCTCAAATGAATAAAATCTTTTAAAAAATGGAAAGAAAATAGTCAAAACTTTGAAAATCATTTAAGTAAATCGATAAATAGTAAAGCTGGTCTGCCCTGGGTTTTGTAATATGCATCTGGGCCTTAAGGTTCAATCTAAGAATGTTTATTCCGTTTGACTTCTTGTAGAAATTTTGGGTAAGATTAGCTTCATGGTTTTGTCAACAATAAAATGTTCTCTTATCATCTTTTAAATCCTACCTGATGCAAAAGTTTTCAGAAACAAAACTGTCACAGACATGTTCCTGGTCTCAAGGTATTGACATTCTTCAGAATGAACAGTGAACGCCCAGAAATTTCTAAATTAGAGTTGCAGCCTAGGATGAGGACTTAACCAAAATTCTCTAGCTGTAAATAAATAAGGTTTAAGGCTATTGTTCCCCTACCCCCCTCACCCCCTTGGCAGGGCTCTGCCTCACATAATCTATTTGGGACTATAGGACATCAGAGCTTGGGCATAAAGGTGTAACAGGAGGGCTCCAGCTGGTCTCAGTGCGACATGAAAGGGTGTAACTTTATCTTCATTTCACATTCAGTGCTTTGCTTCAATTACATCCTCATACTAGGGTCGCTTTGCCCAGACCTTTCCTTTCTGTGTCTGGAAGTCCCGACTCCGGTTCTCTGGGTAAGGATGGCCATTTTCTGCCCAGTAGAACAACTGCATGCTGTAGCCTGTCTTTGGTTTCGGTGATTGGGCTTAGGAGATTTGGCTGAAGGGAAGCAAAGATGAGAACTTTCTAATTCAACTTTTGCATGTTTGCTGTCTTCTCCCTCTCTTTGTCCCTTGATCTACCAACCCAGATAACTGCTTTGTCCTGTCGGGTTTTATCATCGAGAGGAGCCAATCAGACTCGGATACCCAGTGCCATTGTTGGAATCAACTTGCTCCTGTTCTCAGATTTCCACTTTCTGTGCCACCAGGGCACCCTCATGGACAAGTTGGGCCATTCTTTCTCAGTCCAGTTCCATTATGGAAATAGGTACTTAGGGAAAACAGGGTAACCCAGTAGTGGGAGCCCTGGTTTGGGAATCAGACAATCTGAGCACAGGACCTCACACTGCTGTGAACTATGTCACTGAGCAGTTGGGACTCGATGCTGCATCCTTGGTAGGCGCTTTGCCAAAGTATATTCCGTTGATTGACTATACATACAGATTCGCTGTTGTAGTTTCTTCGGTTGAAGATAGAGATGATTTTTGTACCTCATTGCCAGTAAGCTATACTAAAAATACATTAATATAACGAAGACTAGAAATGGACAAATACTGTATTCTGTGGAGCTGATTTGTAAGGTGCGGGAGCAGAAGAGATGATTTCTCGGGTGCCTTCTAACTCCATGTGTGTCTGGCTCTGAGAGAGAGGGTGCAGCTCACTTGAAGCTGGATTATACAGGAGGGCGGAATGGCTTCTGTGTTTACCTGCTGGATGAGGTCTTTTAGATTCCCGATGCAAGGCAGTTCTGATCCCCATTGGTAGCTTTAGAGCGACTTCCCTCCTTTCTCTATATAAGTAGTTGTGTTTTTACTGACTTTAGGTAACTTTGATAATTTTGTCCTCCAAACAGACTTTGCGAGGAGACAAGGCCTGTATTATAGCTACATTTTATAGATGAGGAACGTGTGGGTCAGGGAGGTTATATGATTTTCCAGAGCTAAGTAACAGGTGGATGGCACAGCCACTCCTCTTGGTTTCCTCACTGTACTTCTCCATGCTTCAGTCTCTCAGCTGTAAGTCTGGAATTAGGAACAGGACCCAGTGTTGTCTGAGGGTTTTACCATCCTGATGGGAAATCAGTTAACTAGATATTTATTCAGTATTTTAAATCATTTGTGGAGGATTTTACTTATAACAGTGTGAGTTGAGTATCTTCTGTGCAAAGCACTATGGAGATAGGAAATACAATACAAAACCTCTGCCATCACATCGTTTACCCTGTAGAAGGTGAATGCCAGCAGTGGACATCTAGTGCAATGCAGTGGAGCATTTCTTGTGGACAGAGATGGGCCGGGGAGCTAGGAATCTGACAGTATTGAAGGTCAGGGTGAGATCCAAGCTATGGGCACAAAACTCCAACAGGTGTCAGTTAGGAAGTGGTTAGAGGAGTTTGGCAAGAAGAGGGAGGCACTGGGTCAGATCCTAAGGGTTCTGCGTGTTTGCACTATGGTTTTTGACCTAGAGGCCCAGGTGAAGATGTGAGGTTTTCTAAGGCTGGGAATCAGTGATTCTCCAAAGAATGAGGCACAAGAAAATGAGGGGTAAGCCTAGGAAGGGTCAAGGAACTGGGGGGATGGACCGGCCAGGGTCATAGCTGTGAGACTGCCTCGGTGGGCGCTGGGCACATCACAGGCCCCCAGCAGTGAGCCCAGCAGTTGGTATGACAAGAATATCAGCCGTTTTTGTTCCTCCTCTTCCTTAAAAGGCAGCTGAAGTGTATGGAAAGTTTTCCTAAGGGCCATTTACAGAGGCTGCTGGGGTGCCCAGGTGTGTGTATGTGTGAGTGTACGTGTGTTCACATGCAGTGTGGGCTTGCTTACCTGGTGGTAGGCTGTTGTTCTTTGTCCTCTTTTCAAGAAATAAGCAAATAAAATGGAGGAAACCCATTTGGAAAAAATGTTACTTCAGGCAGCTTTTTACAGCTCTTTCAATCTCATACTACAAGTGTGTAGTTCTGGGCCCCCAGTCACTACAGTTCATGACTATGTCTTCTTTTGTCTTTGAGTTTTTATATTTTGATGTAAAAGTGAATTATCAGTAGGTTTTCTGAAGCCATGCCTGTTTGTTCTTTTTGTTTGTTCATATGAAACAGTGCATCAAGTATGAAATTAGATTAATGGAGTAAATATTATGAATCATACACTCTCGCTAATCTGACGCTCTTTTTTTTTTGACCCCATGTTTTGTTTTCTGTCTGTCTTTCTCTCTTCATGTAGGATTTTTAGTCCAGTGTAAAGCTGTTGGAGCGAGGAGCAAAGGTAAAGAATGATGTAATGCACTGGCTGTCCCAAAGCATCTTTTGTTGTGGAATGGTTATTCCAGTCATCTCTTTATGAATCAGATGTGAGGGGCTGCTTTGTGGAAGGAGTCCTTTGCAAGAACACATCAACGGGGAAAGAGAAAGGGACATTCACTTGGAGGGCTCTTGCTGAAAATGGGTTTAACTCTCCTTTTGCCAGTCACCACCAGCCTGACCTCATACATTTTTAGTACAATGGAGTGGCTGAGCCTTTGAGTACACCACCATTACATCATCGTGGCAAATTAAAGAAGGAGGTGGGAAAAGAAGACTTATTGTTGTCATGGCCCATGAGATGATTGGAACTCAAATTGTTACTGAGAGGTTGGTGGCTCTGCTGGAAAGTGGAACGGAGAAAGTGCTGCTAATTGATAGCCGGCCATTTGTGGAATACAATACATCCCACATTTTAGAAGCCATTAATATCAACTGCTCCAAGCTTATGAAGCGAAGGTTGCAACAGGACAAAGTGTTAATTACAGAACTCATCCAGCATTCGGCAAAACATAAGGTAAATGCTTTCTTTTTTTGCTTTTTAAAACAGACACCCTGAATGAGGAATAATTTTAAAACAGAGCCTCACTTTTAAGGGGAAAAAGTAATCTGAGGAAGTTTTGGTTGCTTTTTAAACTTTGGTACCTTAGGGATACCTCAAAGTAATTTACTAACCACACTGTCACATTTAAGAATATTTCTAAACAATACGAAAGGTTAACTTGTTTTAATTTGGTCAAGTGCTATGTTTACCTCTTTTAATGGTTTGCTAAACTTTTTAAGAATCTAAACACTAATAAGTTATGGTTGATAACATGATATTAATTATTAGTAACTTAATATATAATAATTTATAGTACATGTATCAACAGTCACTAAATTAATACATTATTCTGTGTTATCTACAATTTATTGAAAGGAAATCATTCTTTTCAAGTGCTTTGGGAAGAAAGTGGAAACTGATTATATTAGAAGTGCTGTTTATTTGTGGGAAGGGAAGGTACCATTGTTCAGGATTTAGGGATGTAATTTATCTTCGAGGAAGGTTATTTCTGGGATTCCAAAATGTCGTCCTTGTGGTAGGTAAGGCTGTTTCTTTCCTTCAGGAATAAAAATGAGTTCACTTTTTTTTTTTTAGATTTATTTATTTATTTATTTATTTGACAGACACAGCGAGAGAGGGAACACAAGCAGGGGGAGTGGGAGAGGGAGAAGCAGGCTTCCTGCAAAGCGGGGAGCCCAATGTGGGGCTCAATCACAGGACCCTGGGATCATGACCTGAGCCCAAGGCAGACGCTTAAGGACTGAGCCACCCAAGCACCACAACTGATTTCTTAGTTACGTAGAAACATTTTTAAATGTTTCTTTAGTTCAAGGATTGTTACGTTTATTTTACTTATTATTTGTTTTATGAGTTTTAGCCATTTATAGTGGTAAGGATTTTAAACCAAGGAGATTTGAGCATACCTACACAGAAATAACATCAGTTTTGCCTTTTAAAAGTTGATTTTTACTAGCATTTAAACCATTTGTATACTAGGTTTATCCAGTCAACTGCATGTCCTTTTTATTCAGATTATTACTTGAAAGTGGGGGAGCAGTTATTTGCTTCTGGGATGATTTTCCCAGCTTCTTTCCTAACAGCCTCTCATTTGCACTGCAGGTTGATATCGATTGCAGTCAAAAGGTTGTAGTTTACGATCAAAGCTCCCAAGATGTTGCCTCTCTGTCTTCAGACTGTTTTCTCACTGTACTTCTGGGTAAACTGGAGAAGAGCTTCAGCTCCGTTCACCTGCTTGCAGGTAAGGCTTGTGGCAGAATTGAAGGAACTTCAGTCTCATGGAGCCCTCCCCATAAGCAGTATTTCACAGAGAGCTCAGAGTACAGTAGGTCATCACAACTGTGAGTGTCCTGGGTAAACTGATTTATTTAAAGCTTCTGATTGATGTAACTATTCTATTTAACTTCAATACTACCATTCTTCCACAGTAGTCAATGTGTTTCTTACTTAGCTCAAATGCCTCTTCATTTGGTATTTATTTGTTAGCTAGAAATGTCACATAGATCTGTGTGCTGCTTCTGGCCAGAGATTTTTCCATTCATCTGGGATCTAAAAACACGAAATGCTCTACTTCTCAGCTCCTGCTCTTGGTATCCACCCCCTGTGGCAAGAACCAGACTAGTGTCACAGTGTCAAACTCTTATTAAACAGTTACAGTTACAGCGGACTCCAGATCAGCTCACCATTCTTGGACATTATGAGCAGTGAGGGGGAGAATGTATATAAACTATTTCTTCTAGTAATTAGGGAGATAGTTTAAAAACGCATTTTACTTGTGTATTATCGTTTTGTTTTTACAACTGAAAAAGGTCTCAGTTTGCAAACACTAAGCAGATGATTTTATAAAGTACCTGGGAAGAACTGTTTTATGTCTGTCTGAAAAGGGGGGCAATGTGCGAGTTCCATTTCATCAAATTCCAAAGCAGTGTTCATCCTTTGCTTCCCCTGTTTTGCAGACGTTACTAAAAAGCCCTTTCACTGACATGGGCTCACAGAGTGGGGAATACAGTGTGACAATGCACAGTGACCTTTAACACAAAGCTGCTGTGTCCCGCAGATTCTGCCACCGTGAAAGGCAAGAGGGCTTTTAAAAATGAGATCTAAGAAAACAAAATATGGTAGATATTATTATTTTCACACTTTTAATCTTTTGTTGCAAGGATGGTACCGTGAACTTGATGATGTTGGCAGTTGATCGTTAGACGTGTAAACGTTTCAGTTTTCAGAGAATAGGATTCGTCATTGTTGGTATGTTAACACTTCAACTCTCTGAAGGTTTAGATAAGATTTCCGTGTCTCCAGTTCTCTCTCATCAGCTTTTGCTTCAGGTCTCAAAAAGGAGGCATGATTTCCTGTCTCTTTCAGATCATCTGCTGCCCTGCCTTTTGCTTATGCTGTGATGCTGCGTGATCTTTCTGTTAGTATCCTTAAGTGAAGCCAGCGTGCCTTAGAAAGAAGTTTTTTTTGTTTTTTTTTTTAAAGATTGTATTTATTTATTTGACAGAGACACAGCGAGAGGGGGAACACAAGCAGGGGGAGTGGGAGAGGGAGAAGCAGGCTTCCCGCCGAGCAGGGAGCCCGATGCGGGGCTCGATCCCAGGACCCCGGGATCATGACCTGAGCCGAAGGCGGACGCTTAACAACTAAGCCACCCAGGCGCCCCAGAAAGAAGTTTTCAGAGTTCTGTGACTGAGAATTAGAATATCAGGCTCCGTCTCTTGTTGTTCTGTGCATTCTTTTCCTGGGAGTATACTGTGGTAAATACCACTTTTATTGGAGTTCCGCTAAATGGATTTGGTGAATTTAGGAACTCCTTTCATGCTTCTTGTAGGCGCTGTGAGGACTTTACCTTGGCATGCTATTAATAGGACCAGGGTTTTTCTTAAAGAGGGGACACCAAGATGTGCTTCGCAGCAAAGTGACTGTCCCACCTCACTCTTGTTGCAGACACTTTCCCTGTGGGGGGCTCTGGCTTGGCAGCATGGACAGACAGACACTCCTGGGGAGGAACGAGCTCATGTTGAGTTTCTAGCACAGGAGTTTTAGTTCCTTGAATACCCTTTCCCCGCTCTAACAAGGAGCATGCTTGAGTTACCTGGGAAGGTTCTTACTGGCCATGTGTCAGTTTGGGAGGAGCACTCCTTGGCAAGGAAGAGAAAGGGCTCAGTCTGATCGGCTAGATCAGCCCAACAGTGGAAAGACACGTGGAATGACGCACTGAGTCAGAACACCCTGACATTCCCACGTTGTACGGGCAGTGTTGCCCGGGTGCCTGGATCTAAATCAGAGTCCCCCAGGCAGCACCAAGAACCACACCGAATGTACTGATAGCACCGTACCCCAGTCCACACCCCAGAGTCCCGTGCGTCTTTTAGTTAAGGAGGTGGCTTAAGGGACTGAATTGAATTGCCTTGTTTGGGAGTTTCTGAGCAGCCAGATCTCTTATGATACCTCAGAGAGGGTTCTGGATGGTTTGCAGCCTTCCAACCATCCAGAAGCCCCTGACCAGTTGGAAATTCCCTCCGTTAGTGAGTCTGCTCCTCGGAGTAGACCGAGGAGTGGCACAAGTGGAAGAGAGTGCCGGGAAGCTCTGGCCGTCAGCTCTTGGCAGTCCGCTTTGTTGCCAAGGTCCAGCTGCTCATCGGATGTTCCGGGGATGTGGGACAGGTGTTTCTTCAGTATCTTGTTGAGGGGGGGGAATAACTGTGGAAAAGCACACAAGCTTCTCACAGGCACTATAGAAAATGACAAGGTAGCTGGAGACAATTTCCACTACAAACTGCCCCTGTTGCTCTCAGCAGTTGGAGATGGTTGTCAGCCTCATAATAGAAAGATGCGGTGGTTTCTTGGGGGTGATTTCTCCATCGGCTTAGAGCTTTCAGCTACTCTGAGATTATTTGGGAAGAAAGTTATCAGATGTGAGATGGCTTTTATGTTCATTAGATATGGAAGTAAAGAATTGTGGCCTGAATTCCATTCCCATTCTCAAGGCCACCTTGCTTGGGCAAAAATGACTTTAGAGAAGGGGAAAAAAAAGACATCCCCCAGGAACAGATAGGAGAAGTCTTCTAATGAGCTGTCTCCCTCCAACAAGTGGAGACCTATGCCTACCTATAGGACCTAGTTACAGGGACATAAAGAAATGCAGGGTTACTGAAGGACGCTCTACTGGAATGGGCTTAATTCTTTAATATGGAACAGGTTCTCTTTGGGGATGGGGCTAGCTTATTAAACTTTTTTTTTTTTTTTAAGATTGTGTTTGTTTATTTGGCAGAGAAAACACAAGCGGGCGGGGGGGGGGCGGGCAGCAGGCAGAAAGAGAGGGAGAAGCAGGCTCCCCGCTGAGCAGGGAGCCTGACTTGGGGCTCAGTCCCAGGACTCTGGGATCGTGACCTGAGCTGAAGGCAGACACTTAACCGACTGAGCCACCCAGCCGCCCCTTAAACTTGTTTCTACCAGGTGCAAAGGGTTCTCTTAAGCCACTTGGGCTGCTGATTATCAGGGAGACCATTTTACCAAGTCTTCTAGTCCTGAAACTTGGACCCTTGTTCTGCAGTGAATTCTGCCTGTACTGGCCTCATCTGCAGGCCCCCCCAGCCTGGGACCTTGACCCTTGCCTGACCAACTTTCTCCTCTTCTAAACAGTCAGTATTCCCAAGATTAGCTTGATAGCCATATACTTTTTTTCATTATTATCTTAAAATCTTACTTAAATCTTATCATTTTTCATTTATTAGCTCCCCTAACTGGATTCTCTTTTTTTTCTTTTTTTTTTTTTTTAAATTGGATTCTCTTTTTCAAGCTGAGAACTATGTCTTTTTCATCGTTGTGTTCCCCCACAAGGCCCAGCACTTCTTAAATTCTCAATTCTCAATTCTTAAATATTTGGTATGTAAATTAGCTTACATGTAGTTTTGCCCCATTTATATTTCATGTGATTCATTTTATTAGTGTAGAATATAAGTGATTGTATTAAGCAGTGATGAAACTAACCTGAAAGTGTAGTGAAAACTTGAGATTGTTTTAAAATAAATGATTTACAAAGTATATTCATTCAGAGCAAACATACAGCTGTTATGGGGAAAGCAATATGAAAATGTTTCCATCTATTGAAGTAGATTTAAACATGATTTTAAGAGCTAATAAAAATACTGTGATGAAATCATGTGAATCTTACTTGATCCTTAAATACTGAATGTTGATAAAAAGCTAATAGCTCTAGAGTTCTAGCTCGACTCATAGGCAGATACAAGTCCGTGAATCCATATAAACAGAATGGTTGTGATAATTTCTGTATGTTCTTAGAGGTGAATATAAATTGATTGTTCTGTTTAGCCATTAGGAAGTCTCCCAATAACCAAGCCGAGCCAAACCATAACATCGTTTTACCCCCAGAGGAGTAAAGGGTTTAATTACCAGTAGCAGCCTCATCTGAATAAGAAAGAATGAATTTGGATCCCTTTGGGAGGTTCTCCATCATCATTGTTGGATAGGTGATGACAAAACCATCTTTCCCACTTTTTTTTCAATTTTGAAATCTGTTATTAAATAAGCACAGTTTAAAAACCCATCTATGCTCCCACAACCATGTGTGAAAACAAGATCGAAGAATTTGAAATGGAGGGAATGACGGAAGGGTGATGTAAACATGTGTTTCACAAAAATGACCACAGTGGAGGGTCCTGGTTGTGAGGACTGGCTTAGATGATGCATGTGGAACCCCTGTATCAGTTGTCTTCTTTTAAAAGCTGTTATCATCCTGAGTTGGAAAACAAATAGTTGCCACCATTGACTTACTGATCAACTTTTTTGGTCTTGGTAATGTTCAGAAAACTAGTTCTCTTTAAAAAGTAATCTTGTTTCTTGGCCTTATTCATTTCTCAGGGCACCAGATTGAACATAAATCTAGAAGAGAAAAGAAAAAATACCGAACTTGGACTTTTATTTCTTGCTAACATAGAGAAAAGAGAATAGATGGGTTGTTAGTAGAAATAAAAGATCAATCTACAGATGAGAAATACTGTTGTTATTTCCTTCTCTTTCCTCACTACTGTGGTTCTGAGTAAAAGCAAAAGGGACCCACAGCAGTTTATTAACTCTGCAGCACTCATTTCTGTCCTGTGATGAGACACAGGATAACCAACCCTACAGCAAAACACCACACATGAATCACAGACTTCAGCCCCGCCATTTACAGATGAGGAAAATAACTGAGCCCTGAGTGACTCTCCCAAGCTCTCA